GGTGCAAAGCTACACATAAAAACACTGTCTCGAAAAAGTAAAAAAAAAAAAAAGAAGAAGAAGAAGAAGAAGAAAAGGGTCTAGGGCTGGAGAGATGGCTCAGCGGTGAAGAGCACTGGCTCCTCTTCCAAAAGTTCTGATTTCAATTCCCAGCATCCACAGGGTGGCTTACAACCATCCATAATGAGATCTGGTGCCCTCTCTTGGCCTGCAGGCATATATGCAGGCAAAACACTATACATAATTATATAAATCTTTAAAAAAAAAGAAAAAAGAAGGAGGAGGAGGAGGAGGAGTAAAAGAAAAGTCTAAGCCGGGTGTGGTCACACACCTTCTTTTAATGATTTATTTATTTTTATTTTATATGCATTGGTATTTTGCCTGCATGTATGTCTGTATGAAGGTGTTGGATCCTCTGGAGGCAGTTACAGGCAGTTGTAAATGGCCATATGGGTACTGCAAATTGAACTCAGGTCCTCTGGAAGAGCAGCCAGTGCTCTTAACTGCTGAGCCATCTCTCCAGCCCCATGGCACATACCTTTAATCCCAGCACTTGTGAGGCCGAGGTAGACATCTCTGAGTTCAAGGCCAGCCTGGTCTACAGAGTAAGCTCCAAGACAGCCAGAGCTACACAGAGAAACCCTGTCTAGAAAACCCCAAGGGGTGAAAAAAGGGGGGGTCTCATTATATAGTCCAGGCTGCCATTGAATTCACAATCTTCTTGCCTCAGCCTCCTGAGTGCTAGAACTGTACGTGTGCTACCACACCTGACTGTCTGATATTTTCATCTCTGCTTTAATTTTTATTTATTGTTTTAAATATTTATTTTTATTATTTTTAATTATGTGTATGTGTTTACAAGTGCTTTTAGAAGCCAGAGGTATTGGAGATAAATTACAGACAGTTGTGAGCCACCCCAACATGGGTGCTGGGAATCAAACTCAGGTCCTCTGAAAGAACAGTACATATTCTTAACCACTAAGCCATCTCTTCAACTTTACATTTTAAATTATATTCACTGCGTGTGTGTGCCTGTGTGCATGCATGTGCGTGTACATGCACACAATGGTACATGGCTGAAGGTTGGAGAACAATTTTCAGGAGCAAATTCTTTTTCTACTGTGTGGGTCCAGGAATCTGACTAAGGTTATTAACCTTGGCAGTACAAAACTTTTCTGATGAGCCCTCTTGCGGGGCCCCACAACTCTGCTTTAATTGCTAAGGGTGGTAAGACTCCCAAGACAGAGAAATACTACAGGTCCTTCTAATTAATGCTACCACAGAGAAAGCTCTTGGCTCGCCCAGGGTTCCTTCTCACTGCAATCTCCTGTTAGTCTGCCAATTCTGGCAAACATGGCACCTTATGCCTTGAATCAGTGAACCTAGGCTTTCAACTTGCTGTTCTCAAAGCTTTTATTGTTATCCCTGAACAAAAACATTATCATCAAGTGAATGAAAACACACAGTATTTTCTTTGTCATAAAGGCTCATAGAATTAATTCTTAAACCCAGAATCCCTGGGCAGCAACTAATTGTCCTCACTCACCTTAGATTAAATTTCAGAGCCTCTGGGGTATAGGTTTAGTCTTTAGCAAAACCCGAAGAAGGAAAAGTCCTAGTGGTTCTGCTGATTTTCCATCTTGTCAAAAAGACTTTAAGATGGTTGTTTCACGCTTCACGTGAAAGCAGAATCTTTGTACAGTGGACCTGCTCACAGGGCACCCATGCTCTAGTATGCCATCCCCAGAACAGAGGAGTAGCAGAGCTGAGGAAGCCGGGAGCTGTACCACTGAAACCACTGTCTCTGCTCCTTACCAGCCAACGTTCTCTGCTTGTCAAAGAAGCATTAAGGCAACCCGTGGTTCCTGGATAAGCACATCAAAGGGAAAGTCTTTTTGTTTTTGTTTTGTCATGTAATACCAGTTTTACCTTGAAAGAATGTCTTTGTTATCCAGACATGAGTATTAGCAGACATTGTCTCAAAAAGTAAATATATAAACAAAACAAGCCCATTACTTCAAGAAAAATAGCCAAGTATTTGTGGCCAGTGATAAAAATTCAAGCTTTTGAGCAAAAATTCAAATTTGAAAGTTAGGCATGGTGGCTCACACCTCTAATTCCAGTACTTCAGGAAGCTGAGGCAGGAGGATCACCATGAGTTTGTGGCTAGCCTGAGCTACAGAGTGAGAATCTGTCTCAAGAACAAAAGAACAAACAAAAATTTAGAATTTGGGAAAGCTTGTATCACTTACCATGAGCATTAGAGTATTTCAATACCTGTCTGAGGAAATCAGTGTCATTAAAAAATGTTATTTTTTTGGCATGATAAATGAAATTCATTTTCCAAATGACTAAAGCATGATTTCACAGAATTATACATTGGTAAAGATCTATCTGAAATATAAATGCACAACAGATTTTATTCATTTCTTTTTTTTCTTTTTGGTTTTTTGAGACAAGGTTTCTCTGTGTTAACAGCCCTGGCTGTCCTAGAACTCACTCTGTAGACCAGGCTGACCTTGAACTCACAGAGATCCACCTGCCTCTGCCTCCTGAGTGCTGGGATTAAAGGTGTGCTGCACCACCACCACCACCAGGCTCAGATTATTATTATTATTATTATTTTTACTTTTGTTTGGAGACAGGGTCTTACTATGTAGCTTTGGCTGCCCTAGGACTCACTATGTAGACCAGACTGGCCTCAAAATCAGAGATCCTCCTGCCTCTTCAATTAAAGGTATGTACAACCATGCTGGGTTCCAACAATAGGTTTTTAATAAAAAATGAATACAAAGTCTTCAACACTGAACTCATGGCTTTGTGCAGGCTGAGCAAGCCCTCTACCACCTGAACTACATCTCCAACCTGAGAGTCCAGCTTTATTTCATACGTGCGTGCGTACGTGCGTACGTGCGTGCGTGCGTGCGTGCGAAACCATGGACCACTCTCTCTGACTTATTTCCTTGAGCTCAGGTCTCTCACTGAACCTGGAGCTTGTCATTTCTGGCTAGGCTGGCTGGTGGGCCAGGAAGCTTCAGCAATCCTTGTCTTCACAAATACCCACCTCCAGCTCTGTGTTGGGGTTACAGGTATATATGACCACAGTAGCTTTTTTTTTTTTTTTTTCGGTTTTTCGAGACAGGGTTTCTCTGTGTAGCTTTGCGCCTTTCCTGGGACTCACTTGGTAGCCCAGGCTGGCCTCGAACTCACAGAGATCCGCCTGCCTCTGCCTCCCGAGTGCTGGGATTAAAGGCGTGCGCCACCACCGCCCGGCCACAGTAGCTTTTTATTTGAGTGCTGAAGATACAAACTCTGATTCTCACACTTACATAGCAAGCCTCCTTCCCCAGCTTTTCTTTATTAAAAAATTTGCAAAACTGAAAACAGGAACACTTTTCTATTCAATGTATAAAATTAAATATACATAACTATTATTTTTAAATGGCACATACACTGTATTATGTGTGTGAGCATCAGAGGACAACTTCCATGAGGCTTCCTCTCCTTCTACCCTGTAGATCCCGGGGATTGAACTCAGGTCCTCAGGCTTAGCAGTAAATGCCTTTACCTGCTGGGCCATCTCACTGGCCCCCAAATAATTATTTTTAATAAAAATTGCAATTTATGTTAATGTGGTAACTTATTAAATATTATTAGTCTTTTTTTTCCAATCCTGGAGATCAAACCTAGGACCTACTATGTTCTAGTCAATAATCCTTATTACTAATTATATGGTTTGTGGTGTATCTGGACAGTTTTTGGGGCACAACTCAATTTTTCACACTGGCCTTCTGTCCACAGTTTGGCAAGTGTCAGAGAATAACCCTGACCACCACGCCAGACAGGTGCCAAGATCTGTTCTGAATTGGACTGACTTTCAGCATTTAGCCTAGTCTCATTCTCCTAAGGGTTCCTCCCAGTCCCAAGAGTTCATGTGTGTTTGCACCAGATTTCCCAAGACACACGCTGTATCTAGCCAGCTGCCCTGCAACAGGTTCCAAATCCTATTCTGAAATAGCCCATGAGAGTACTCTCCTCTCAAGATACCAAACTCCAAAAGCTTCCCTGACACCAAGGCAAAGTAGGTGACAACAAGAGCTAAACTTTCTTATGTCAACTACCATGCTACACGCTGGGAAACCCCTTAGTAAAATCCTAGCATCCCATAAGACCCTAGTCAAAGGTCAAGGAAACTCTGTGTACTAAGCCAAGGTAATTCTAGTATAGCACCTGTCACACCGTGCCATATTCCTGGCAGAATGGAGCTCTCTGGAGCAGATGTTCAGAAATCACATATGGCTTGTTGCCTGTCACATAGCAGGCGTTAAATAAATGGAATTTTAATGCCCTTTTGGCTCATTGGCTCAGCTACTTAACATCAAGAATAGAATTTAAAACAGCAAAACTAGTCCCTTTCCTGAAATGTTATGCTGAAGGCATGGCTCTGATAAGAAGGCAACCAGAGCTAAGACTCTGAGAATTCTAGAAATCAGAGCTGCAGTTAATGCTCTGGAAGCTGACCAAACCCCACCTCAGTGGTTTGGAACTTTTACTGCAATTCTTCCTCAGATGTGGCCCTTCCAGGAGGCAGACAACGGCTTTACTTTATAAGGCCAAATGGTAGAGAGTCTTCTTTGGGTTACAAGCTGAGTAAGGACAATGCAGTGAGGCTGCTGATCCTAATGACCCCACAAGCCTATCCAATCCACTCAATCTGCTTCAAAACAAGTAGCCAAGAGAAGGCCCGAGCTGCTCACTTAACCGAATCCCTGGGCCAACCTCTGTTTTACTACCCTTAACTCCAAGACAGGTTTCTCACAGGGAAAAGAGCATGAACTTTGGAGACATGGTTCTAAGTTCAAATCGTTGTTCGGCCATTTTCCGTATTTTGGAGCATTACTCAAATTCTCTGAGTCTCAGGTTTCTCGATTTATGAAATGGGAATAACACCATACTTCACAGAGTTGTGAGGACAGAAGGAAATAAATTATGTAAAGTACCTGGCCTGGGTCTGGCACACAGTAGGTGCTCAATACCCGTTAGTTTCTTTCCTCTTCTGCCCTGGAAGAAATGATAGGGAAACTTACTAAGTGAGACTTGCCCAAACCAAATTTATTACTTGAAGCACAGGACAGAGGACTAAACAGTGACCTTCAAGGCATCTCTGAACCCCCATGTCATACAACATGGCCTCATTTCCTGATAAAGATCTTCAGTGTTTACAGTGCCTCTGGCCCCTTTTCCTGCCTTAGTTTCCCCACACCCCTTTTCAGAATAGAAATACCTACTTCTTTGATTCTAAGGGGAGAGGGGTCAAAAAGGGAGCCAAGAGCTTTGGCTAGAGGGTAAGGGAAACGGACAGTTTATGAAACTGCAGCATGTCCCTCCTGCTACTCAGCTATTGGTTATCTAATGTGATCAATGAGGAGACACAAAGGCGCAAACTCAGACCCTTCCTAGTATACAAGCTTGCCTTTCCTTAGTTCTTACCTGCCCTTGAAGGACCATTAAATACTCCCTTCCCCAGTTATATATGCACTGCCTCTTCTCTTTTTTCTAAAGACTCAACCAGGTGTCAAATTCTCCAAGTGCATTGTCAGAATGAACGGGGCTTCGTTTTAGACTGCCCTATGCTCTTTCACATTTCTCTAAAATAGAGGTGATCTATTATCTTAAACAAACAAACAAACAAACCAAAAAGCAGGATCTTATTATATAGCCCTGGCTGTTCTCAAACTCACAGAAATCCACCTGCCTCTGCCTCAAATACTGGAATTACAGGCATGCATCACCATGCATGGACCTATCTCACATATCTTAATTGTTTAAACCTGTTATCTCTACAATACCATGGGAAGGACAGACACAGTGTTCCAAGAATCACTGTATTCCAATCATTCAGCAGAGGCACAACAGAAGACTAGCAGATGAATATTATTAACAAGTCAACAACTGAAGAAATGGAGGAAGGCAGGGTTTGTTTTGTGTGTGTATAAATGTTTTGCCTGCATGTGTGTCTATGCACCACATTCATATCTAGTGCCCATGCAAGACAAAAAAAGGTGTTGGATTCCCCTGGAACTGGTGTTAACGAACAGTTGTGAGCCACCATGTGGGTGCTGGGAACTGAACCCAGGTCCTCTAGAAGAGCAGCAAGTGTTCTTAACCCCTGAGCCAACTCTCCAGCTCCTGTTTTAGTTTTTTAAAGTGATGTGAGGAATCAAACCCAAAGCCTTAAACCTTAGGCAAGTTTTCTATCATTGAGCTATATTCTCAAGCCTCCAGCCCCTTAAAAAACAAAACAAAAACTCCCACAATGCTAGGCTTCCTCAATTTAGCAGCTCCCAGATCCAGCCACACTCAGAATCTCCTACAACATCCAAAAATGGATCCTGGGTGGGCTCTAGCCCTAGCTGGGTAGATCTGGGATGGAGTTGAACAAAGAACAAAGGATCTGGCCATTAGTTAGGCTAGAGTGAGGGAGACAGGGACTAGAGAGAGCAATCCCGGCTGCCTCTCCCACAGAGAATTACTTCCTCACACAGCATCGCGGAGGGTTTACCACATCTAGTTTGTTTTCCTACTTAACTTCACTGACTCCTCACTGTCAACTTGAAGTGGAACATCAGCTGGCTTTTCCCTGCTCTCCAAACGAGTCCAGGCAGTGCTCACCTCCCTTGCAGACCAGTGGTTCTCAACTCATGGGTTGCAACCCCTTTGGTGGGGGAGAATCCCTTTCTAGGGTTCGAATATCAGATATCTTAGATATCAGATATTTACATTATGATTCATAACTAGCGAAATTAGTTATGAAGTAGCAACAAAAATAATTTTATGGTTGGGGATCACTTCAACATGAGGAACTGTACCAAAGGGTTGTAGCATTAGAAAAGTTGAGAACCACTGCTCTAACTCCTTCCTTTCTCCACCTTACTTTCTGGAAATATTCGACCATAAAGACGAGGCTCTGAAGACCGTCTCTGTCTCAACTTTCCCTGGATTACCATCCTAAGCAGCAAGCACCTACAATTATAGCTGCAACTGTGCTAAGTGCTTGCCGGGAGGAACTGTTGGTCCCTAACATTAACCCAGTAAGCCTGAGTTTACTGTCATTTCATAAAGCAGTAAACAAACCAAGAGGCCAAAACACTTCCAAAGGCCACTCAAAAGGATGCAGGATTTGAACCTTTGTTCAAAGGCAGCTAACACTGTGCCTTCCTCTGGTACTACTGCAGTTACTATACATATATGCTGTACAGTACAAGCTCCTTGAAGACAGGAGCCAGGGTTCATTCACTTCTGAATTTGCAACTAGTCCAGAGCCTGGCACTGTGGGGTCACTTAGTGTTGGCAGAATAAATGAATGCTAGGCAAGAGGGTTACTGGGTATGACAGTGTGTGTGCCATAGCTGGCCTAAAAAAGTACCAGTGAGTCTGGCATTGTGAGGTATGCGACAGTCATGTATTGAGCAATAAAGATCATGCATAATACATACCTAACGTGACTTAATTAAAATGGTCCCTGCTCTAAAAAACTCTAGATACAGTAAGTGAAGGTGTTATGACTTTAATCATCCATCTATTATCAGACATTAAGCTAATAACTCTGAGACAGTTTAAGGAAATTAATTTTTTTAAAAAAACTGGGTGGGCAAGTCTTTATCTTCAAAGGTCATTGGCAGTTTTGCACTGAGAGTCTTTTCTGGCTTACAAAGAACTATGTGGCAGGGTTGCCCCTTCACATCATTTCCTCCCACTGGCCATGAAAGTGGTGCAGGCCTGAATCAGCAGGGTTGTCTCTAAAGATAGGAACCACCTTGGCCTTCTGTGTACCTCAAACAAAAGCCCTGGTTACAGAGATCATTTTGAAGCTTTTTGAGTGAGTTAAACATAACGAAATGCTTTCAATAAAGATACTGACTGATCACCTTGGCCAGTTCCTCAAGAGAACAGATTTACTCTGAGCAGTGGAAGAACCGGGTCTCTGGAGGCCCTTTACACTAAACTGGTCTGTCCCAGGGGGTGCTGTAGAGAGACAAGAGGGAAAGGAAAGGATGAGCTCATTGCCACCCACCCCAGCTTCCTTAGCAAGCCTCCTGGGTGCTAAGTGCACACACAGGTTACCAGCTGAATGGTGTGAGACTACAATCAGCTGGTAGAGTAGTGGTAAGGCTGGCTGTGGCCACTCAACACTGCTCCTGCCACCCAGAAGAGACTCTGCATACTAGGCTGCTTCACAGTCTCTTATTGATGGGGCTCAAACAGGGAAAGAAACCAGCTCTGAGACACAGAGCAGGAGGAAAAGTGGGGAGTTCAACCCAAGTCAGTGAATTAGTTTTCACGGTCTCCTTTGCACTGCTTTCAGGTTTTCTGAGTTGACCTGCCTCTACCTTACTACCATCCTTTGCTAGTAAGGCAGCACCTGTTTAAGCTTTATCTTGAAGTAAAAGAGGGTTGGAGAGTTTGGGTGACTAGGCCAGATTTAGGGGCTAGAACAACTGAAAGGATTTTTGGGATCCCCAATAACCTTAAGGGCTTGTATCTAAAAGTGTAGGCTATGGAAATGAACAAAGAGGCATGGAAAGAACCAAGAGGCTGGAGCACAGGCTGCCTAAGGGAAGCACATTGCTTAGACACCATAGATGACTGCTTGGAGACGTGGGTTCAGCGTCACCAAGACTTTAGGGTTTTAAGAAGAACAAATGCAAGTATGAAAAATCTTTTCCCTATTGCTATGGAAACAGGAGATGTAGCCTAGGCTGGCCTGCAACTTGCTGTGTAGCTCAAACTGGCTTTGATTCAAAGCTATCCTATCTCAACCTCCCAAGTGCTAGGATCACAGGCACAAATCACCACACCATGCCACATATTTGCTTCAGAATATCAGCTTACATTAAGATTAAAAACAAAAATAAAACAGTGTATGAGTTTGGGACCTTAGAATAAGTCTATGGACTGGAAGTGGTCTCATTTGTCACCCATGGACTTGGTTCAACAGGTAACATTAACATTGAATTTCACCTTCCTTATCCACTCTACACCCAGACAGAACTGAGTGAGTGGGGTTAGGAACCAAGACCCTTAAGAAAGGCATGACAGTGAACAAAGAAGCAATGGCCAACCTCTACTCGGACATCAGGTACTTTTGACCAGGGCACAAAAGGCTGTTTCTTGAATCTCACCTCTACCCACAGCAAAAAGTGGGGCAAAATCAGAGTTTGCTGGTGTTTCAGTTCCCTTGAGTATGTAAGAGTGAATTTTTATCTGATTGGATTTTTACTTTATAAGTGGGAATCATTTATGTAAATATTTAAATGCTGTAGGTTTCTGTTTCTCTATCTGAAAAACACAGTAACTGTAGTTATACCTCTAGTTTGTTTACTGATATTTGTTAATCACTAGGAACAGGGATCTGACAAGGCTCTTGCATCCTAGAACCTATATAAAAAAGCAGACAAAGAACTGTATCTGTGGTTATGCACAGTACTAGTGCTAGATGCTGAGGAGAAATACATGAAAGGTGGAAAGGTTAGAAATAAGGCATGTCAGTCGCCTGGCAGGAATAAAGGAATGAATTCTTAGGTCAAGCAATAGAGTAGGTAAGAATCTAGAAACACTTGGATCAGAAGAATTAATGAAAGCTATAATTTTGGGGAGAGTTGTATTTCAATAAAACTGGATGTTAAGACACCATCCCAACTTTCTGGCCTCTCTCTGTGGCAGGTAGCCTAGAGTACTGTATGTCTGATGGGAAACAAAGAGGACAACAGACAGCTCCATGGCTCTCTCTTCTAGATGACAACACTCATGGTGGGGGGTGGTCAAAATAGGTTAGAAGGGGAGGTGGCCTTTGGCTGAAAGCTAGACCCAGCAGAAGTAGAAGACTCTTTGTAAGTCTTATTTGAAACTTCTCACAGCCTAGGCTACAAGGCAGGACGATGGGGAGGCTTCTAACATTCAAGAATTTGTGACAATTTCACTAATTAAAAATCTTCTCACCATGACTAGAGAAACAAAGGAGACCAGCATCAAAACTGGGTTACGATAAGCACAGGTTCTGAGCAACTCGTTCTCTTTCTCATTTACCTACTTAGCTCTATTCTGGAAAGGCAAAGCCTGGAATAGGTCTGGAGGATCACAAAAATGGCTCCTCCGAGTCCCTTGTGTTTACAGTTCAGTGCTTGGGTCAGACACATCAACAAGTTTCATCACAGAAGGACTGGTGCCACCAGAGGGAAGCAAGGAGGGCTGTGGGCACAGAGGGGGCACTTGGTGTAACTGGGGAGGTCAGGGAAAGCTTTCCAGGAATGGTACCCCAAATGGCATCCCCACTCACATGCACAATTCCAGAGATTCTACTAGAAGGCTGTCAAGAGCCATGCCTTCAGGCTGCACCAGCCTCCCAGAGTCCCCTGCTGCCCGATGCAGTCAGTGTCTGCAGAGCCAAACGCATCTTCCGCCACGCCTCATCCTCATCCGGGCGCTGCATCCGACCCTCCAAGACTCCTGCAGGGGCCTGCCTTCCTTGGCAGGCTCAGCCAAAAAACCAACTCAAAACTCTTTTGTCAGAGCAAGCTTAGGGCAAGCCACCCAGCCCCGGGTGCCACAACCCTCCCTGAGCAACTGTGGCCCACGCCACCCCACCTCTCCTGTTCTCTCCTGCTCAGAAGAAAGTGACCTTCCAGGTGGCAAGCTGGAAGCTTTCAAGAATCCTCCCGTATACTCTTACTCTCACAGGATTCAGCAAACTAGGGGGAGAGCGGGGGTCGGGGCGGAGAGTCGGGGACGCCTTATGGGACCGGAGGTAGGGAGGAGAACAAGGGTTTCCTCCTCAGTGGAGTTGTTCCAACAGTCTTTGGGGCAGCCTGCCTGTTTGCTCCAACTGTTCTGCTGGGTGGGGAAGGGAGGGAGGTCCCAGAAGGCAGATGCAGAAGTACAGCTGGTGAGGGTAGCGGCTGCAGACAGTGCTGGGAAAGGAATGAAACTGCTGGGGGCCGGGGGGAGGGGGCGCACAGAGGCTGCAGCCTTGCAGGTTCCAATGCCCAGAGATGATCTTTTAGGGGCCGGGGGAATCAGGTGGGTCCAAAGGGAAGTAAGTGGAGGGCAGAGAACTAAGCTGTGGTTTCAGGACCTAAGCCAGTCCCAGTGACCCGAATGGCCAGAACATTTAGCTCCGGAGTAGGGGTTGAACGGATAGCTTTAGAAGGGTCGCAAGAGGGGTGGCTGAGCTTTGGCTTTCGAGAGGGGTCCAGCCTCCACTCCCGGCAAGGGGGTAGAAAGCTGCTCCGGACTTGGGATCTGGCCCCAGCCGGATAGCATGACCATGCCCAATCCCGCCCCACTCCCGCTCCCGCTCCGGGGAGGTGAAAGCAGTCGAGCAGTCGGAGTCGTCTTGCTCGTTCCTACCTGAGGGCCTGGAGCCAGTTTGGGCTCGTCCTCCTCCCTGGGGCTGTCGCGATCCGGCTCCGCAGGCGCCTCCGGGGGCCCCGCACCCGCTCCCGCTTCCAGGCTTGGCGGCGGCTGCGGCTCGGGCGCCTGGGGCTTCTGCAGCCCCGCGGCCCGCGCCCGCTCCCGCCGGCCCGCGCCGCCGCTCGGCCTGCTCCGCCTCCGCGTCATGCTGCCTCTCGCGCCGCTCCCCTGCTCGCTGGTTCCCCTCGCGCCGCCGCCGCCGCCGCTGCCACCGCCGCTCCCCTCACAGGACAACAGCCAATATGGCGGCACCCGGCACCCCTCCCCGCCCGCTGCCAACAGGTCAGAGGGCACGCTGAGTCCGCGCCGCCGCACTCGCCTCCGAAGCCTCCTGCGCCATTTTTAATAAGGCCACCACCCTGCGTTCCGCGGGAGACCAGCCCAGAGGCGAGGTCCTGTCCTAAGCACACGTCGGAAAGGCCACGACCTGCCGGAGAAACACGTGTGGCACTGTAATAGCGGGCCTAGTAGCTTCATTGTCCCTTAAATGATGAGTGAATTAACTAATCTCTGCTGCGATACTTTCACACTCATCGCCTGGCTCCTCCCTACAGCACTTGGAGACAGGTACGAATTATTCCCATTTTGCAACGGAGAAATAAGGAGGCTGCAAAATGACTACGTAAGGTTGCTAGATATCATCCAGGCACAGCCGATGGGCTCGTGGTCAGCCTGAGGCAAAAGACACCAAAGGAACGTGCGTCTTCACTTGAAATGTGTCATCCACTGGGAGTCCCGCGTTCTGCAGGACCCAGACCCAGATCCTTCTTGAGTCTAGTGGGAAAGGTGGTCACTTAAATACATAATTACGACCAGTGTGACAAGGATGAAATGATTAGGGCACTTACTAAGGCAGTATTTTTTTTTTAAGTGGTATTTGCAGGAGAGGATTTTAAGGACACACAAAGGAGAATTTGAAATATTTAACAGTTAAGCATTTAATTGTAAAAATGTCATCTCCACCCATTTTTGTGGGGGAGAAAAATACAGGCACATGGAACAAACATTTTTTTTTTAAGTTTCAAATGCTATCTGTCTTATGCCTTGGCCAGTGGAACTTTGAAACTTTCTGGTAGTTAGATATGGAATTTATATTGGTATCATCCAGAACTGAATCTGGAACTTTAACTACCAAGAAGTAAATCAAATTTTTAAAATTACTATATTTTATTTATGTTATTTTATTGTTTCAATAGTGTGTGTGTGTGTGTGTGTGTGTGTGTGTGTGTGTGTGTGTGTGTGTGTGTGTGTGGTGTCTCTGCATCGCTGAGTGTATGTAGAAGTCAGAGGACAACTTTTGGGAATCAGTCCTTCCCTTGCGATGTGGACCTTAGGACTATCAGGCTTGATGACGAGTGCGTTTATCCACTGCGCTATGTCACCTGACCCAGTTCTGGTTATTGAAACAGTGTCTCATTTAGTAGCTGCCTTGGCCAGGAATTCACTTTGTAGACCAGACTGGCCTCCAACTTGCTTTGATTCTCTGGCTTCTGCTTCCCAAAAGTGTAGTTACCATGTGTTTGGAAGGGTCTACTCTTGGCTGTGTGGTGTGCTTTGATCTTTCTAGGGGGAGGTCTTTTGCCCCGCCCTTTGGCATTGTTATAAAAAGCCCTTTTGAAGAGACGAAGAGACGGGGTGGGGGGGTGTGTGGATTTTGATCCAGGTCCTCTCAAAGCTATCCTGTCTTTCTGTCTGTCTCCTCTCCACTTCCTTTTTTTTTTTTTTTTTTTTTTTTGAGCTGAGGATCGAACCCAGGGCCTTGCGCTTGCTAGGCAAGTGCTCTACCACTGAGCTAAATCCCCAACCCCTCCACTTTCTATCTAATATTTTCTTATTCCTCTATGCTCCTCATAGGAACCCTGGAAAAGGTGGAGCTGGTCTCCCACACAGGCCCCATAAACGAAAAACAAAGGAAAGAAAAAAGCCACTTCCCAATGGAAATAGAGGAAGAAAAAAGGTTCTCCCCCCCCCCCCCCCAAAAAAAAAAGAAAGAAAGAAATTGAGGATAGCTGAAACTCAGAGCTCTCTCTCTGGCTACACTCTGCCTGGCAGTTCTTTCAGGGACAGGTTGGTTAAATTCTATAAAAATATAGCACCTGAAACAGTGGGTTACTAATTTATTAAATAATGTGGCTACTAAGGTGAAAGCTCATAAAAAATAATCTCGTACTGATAGAGAGCCTACAAAAATTATTTTTCCATGAACTAAAATACAGGTAAATTTTTTGATCCACACTGTTAATAATTGGCAAGTTGCATTAACATGTTACTTGGGATCTATAAAAAGGATGCTCCTTTTAAATTTTTATAAACATACTCCACAAGTATTGCCTAAAGTTCCCTCTTAAAATCCTATACAGGTTGTTTTTAATACTTTTATAGATGGCTTATGTAAAAAAGACTATACAGATAAAAGCTGGTAATATAATTGCTCAATTGTCATTGCTCCTATGTAGTGGGTAGCCATTCCAGCTTTGATCTGGAAGTTCCAACCCCCATTGAGGCTTCAGTAACTGTCACGCCTATAAGGCGGGGCCAAGAGAGGGCCCTGAAGATCCAGATGGGCCCCACTCTCTTGGTTCCTGGACCCTGGATGCTAGAGGTAGACCGAGCAGAGTTCTCCAGAGAACACCACCGGACTGCGCTACCTATCCCTTCATTTGTAAGTTATACCACTAATAAACCTCCCTTTTAACTACGTGGAGTGGCCTTAATAATTTCACCAATACTCCCATATTTTAAAGGTAAAGCAGCTCCAATATGTAGGACAAGAGGTTTTGAAAGTACTGGAAAGAAATATTTTGACAAACTCTTACAATGATGAAAGGCCAAAGCTGAAATTACAAGTAAGTGGAATTGAGATTTCAGGCCTACTTAGACACTAAAGCTGATGATGCATGTATAATTTCTCAAAAATCTTAAAATTCTAACTGGCCTTTACAAAAAATCTCCACTCAATTTTTAGGCATTTGAACATTATCTCAAGTAAAACAAAGTATAGAGTGAATTAAATGTATAGGGTCTGAAGTGCAAATAGGGATATTAAAGCCTTATGTGCCTGATAGAATCATTAATTTATGGGTGAGAGCTTTGTTACAATGGGAAGCTCAAATTAATATTCCTACAATTTCAGAAACAGCTTATGAAATGATGTTAAAAATGAGAACACCGGGCGATGGTGGCACATGCCTTTAATCCCAGCACTTGGGAGGCAGAGGCAGGTGGATCTCTGTGAGTTAGAGGCCAGCCTGGGCTACAGAGTGAGTTTCAGGAAAGGTGCAAAGCTACACAAAGAAACCCTGTCTCAAAAAAACAAAAACAAAAACAAAAATGAGATATGTTCCTGGAAAAGGTATTGGAAAAATTTATCAAAGAAAATCATAGGCTATATAGTATTGTGTAATATATTGTTTGTGTTCTGACAAATAAAGCTTGTTTGGAGTCAGAGGGTGGAGCTAGCCACTAGTTAACCATAGAGGTCTGTAAGTCTGTACAGAGAGGAGACAGGAAGTGGTAAGGCGAGGCAGAGAGAGAATCTCAGCCTTTTTGGTCAAAAACGAGAGAGGTAGGAAGTGACTGTGGCTGCTCCCCTGCTTCTCTGATCTTTCAAGTTTTTACCACAATATCTGACTCCTGGTTTTTATTGATAAGGTGAATTAGGTTTACTCTTCATTTGGCGTCCAACTTTTGGGGCATGAATTCACAATTTAGCTGCTTGCCAGTGATTTTGCAGCCACCTTCACATGCCAGAGCTGCACTCAGGAACTGCACCCGGCAAAGTCACCACACCAATGGCAGACTTTCCCTTTCTTCCCCAAGCCCTATGAGCAAGTCTGGGATTTTCCTGCCGCAGCCTGTCTACAGTAATCTCCACAAGCTCCAAACTCCACAGGTGCCTGGGCTTTGAACACCGCTGGAGTTAGCCCCTCACCACCGGCCAGGTCTGCCTTCAGGCAGTTCCCACCACATGTGTTTCTTCCTCTCCCTGTAGGTTGTGGGCTTCCCCTGGACCCCTCCTCGGGCTGCTGCCACACTAGGAAGCTGCCTTGACACCCACTGGAGCTTCCTTGACACGTACTATTGTTGCAACTGCCACACACACTCAGCTTACAGCTACACGTTAGCAGCTGCAGCTGTCCTCAGAAAGACTGTATACTGCATTTGTTCTCTGCTCAGATGTGCTATACAGAGGCAGCCAGCCTCACATTTCACCATCAGCAGCAGCAGATTTGGTGAGACAATTGGGAATTTTTTTTTTTTATTTTTTTTGGTTTTTTGAGACAGGGTTTCTCGTGTAGTTTTGGTGCCTTTTCCTGGATCTTGCTCTGTAGACCAGGCTGGCCTCGAACTCACAAAGATCCACCTGCCTCTGCCTCCCGAGTGCTGGGATTAAAGGCATGCGCCACCACCGCCCGGCTGAGACAATTGGGAATTTTTAAGAGGGGGAATTAGTTAAAAAAGAGAGAGAGAGATGGGCTGGAGAGATGGCTCAGAGGTTAAGAGCACTGGCTGCTCTTCCAGAGGTCCTGAGTTCAATTCCCAGCACCCACATGGTGCCTCACAACCATCTGTAATGAGATCTGGTGCCCTCTTCTGGCCTGCAGGTGTATATGCAGACAGAATGCTGTATACATAATAAATAAATCTTTAAAAAAAAAAAGAGAGAGAGAGAGAGAGGTTTTTTCCCCATGTCAAAAAATGGGAAACACTATTATGATGGAGGGAGTTAGGTC